CCTTCTCCCTTCCCTTCACTGCCTTCTCTCCCCGTGCAGCCTGGCCAGCAGCAGCCGAGACAACCCCGTCCACGTGTGGGATGCCTTCAGTGGGGAGCTACGGGCCTCTTTTCGCCCCTACAACCACCTGGTGAGTAGGTCCGAAGGCGAGGGCCTCCCCCACTCAACCTCCCCCCCCACACCCCAGCCCCCTGGGCTTTTGACCTCGTCCAGGAATGAATCACCCAGTTAATCATTCGGAGGTCTTTGTACTTTGTTCTGTTAATGAACCATCTTTGAAACACGGCGTCCAGTTTTGGTCACCACGATGTAAAAAAGATGCTGAGACTCTGGAAAGAGTGCAGAGAAGAGCAACAAAGATGATTAGGGGACTGGAGGCCAAAGCATATAAGGAACGGTTGCTGGAATTGGGTAGGTCTAGTTTAACGAAGAGAAGGACGAGGGGGGACATGATAGCAGTATTCCAGTATCTCAGGGGTTGCCATAAAGAAGAGGGAGTCAAGCTATTCTCCAAAGCGCCTGAAGGCAGGACAAGAAGCAACGGATGGAAACTCATCAAGGAGAGAAGCAACCTAGAACTAAGGAGAAACTTCCTGACAGTTAAAACAATTAACCAGTGGAACAACCTGCCTCCAGAAGCGGTGAATGCTCCAACACTGGAGGTTTTTAAGAAGAGACTGGACAGCCATTTGTCTGAAATGGTATAGGGTTTCCTGGCTGAGCAGGGGGTTGGACTAGGTGGCCTCCAAGGCCCCTTCCAGCTCTGAACCTATGATTCTATTACAATCAGTAGGACGAATTGCCGCCAGAAGTTGTGGGTGCTTCATCCCTGGAGGTTTTTAGGAAGAGACCGGACAGCCATTGGTCTGAAACGGTATACACTTTCCTGCCTGAGCTGGGGGGTTGGACTAGATGACCTCCGGGGTCCCTTCTAACTTTTGTCATTCTGTAATTCTGTTCTGTAAATGAATGCAACCTAATCGAAAACACAAAAAAACGTCCTGGGGGAAAAGCTTGAGGCTCTTCAATTACACACACACACACACACACACACACACACACACACACACACACGCAGAGAGAGAGAGAGCTTGACCAGAGAACTGTCTGTCTGTCTTTTCGGTCCAGGACGAGCTGACGGCCGCCCACTCGCTCTGCTTCACTCCTGACGGCGCCCAGCTCTTTTGCGGCTTTGACAAAATGGTGCGCGTGTTCGACACATCGCGGCCCGGCCGGTCGTGCGAAAACAGACCCACATTTGGTGAGTTGACACTCGTTCGGATTG